CCAAGAAGAAGGAGATAGTGTAATAAACTCAGAAAATGTATCAAATGATACTTTATCAAATGAATTAGAATATGTATCTTTAGCAGGTGATGTTACTAAAGAAACAGAAGGTAATTCTAAAGAGTTTAATAAACAAGATATTGAAAAAGTTAATATTACTACAATTGATGATAAAGATGGTTCAAAGATAAAAGGTACAGATAAGAATGAATCTGCAGTTTTAAAATCTAAAGAAAATATAGGTTCGCAGTGTGAGATTACAAACCAACAAAATACAAGTTTACTGATTGAAACAACCGTTTCCACAGACACTAATGAAATTAACAACATTAACGACAAAGTGGAGTTCGAGAATATCCCTAAATCTTCTGAATAAATATATACAAAGACTGACTTTGTATTTAAATATAGATATTAAACAACACCAATTTCTTATCTTGAAAATATATATCATTTGATTTTTCAGACAAAGTTATATTTAATTTAATGATCATGTTATATAATATTTTACTTCAAAAGATTGGAAAACGTACGATAAACGAGCAAAAAATAATATTACTGCGTTTCCTTTGAAAGAAAAAAGTTTAAATAAAGGAGAACATTCCCAAATGTACACTACAGCTTTAAATATAAAAGAAAAATATTGAAATGTGAACTAGCACGTTTACTTTTGTTATTTTTTATGTTTTTACTATGTTAAGATCGTTAGTGATTATTATTTAATTGTGTACTATACTAAAAGTAACTTTTCTTTTTATGTTACTATAAAATATCTGTTTATAAAAACAGTAATGAAGTATTTTTCGGTGTTTTACCAAAGAGTAATAAAGAATATATTTCAGGTATAATAGTCCGAAACAGTTCTTCTATTTTCACATTTTATATTCTTTTATAACTTTATCGTAATACAGAATTATTCAATTTCAATTACTATTCGAATTTTTAACAGAAGCTTCATATAATTATGATATGTGTATTACTTATAAAGAATGTTATTCAATTGTTTCTCTTCAATTTTGATGAAACTTTATAAGTTTGTATTTAGAATAATCAAAAGTAAAGAACATCTCACATTTTAAGATAGTTTTAGAGGTGTCAATTTTTAAAATTGAGTTTCCGTTGATGAACGAATGTGTATCTTCTATTTTTGATTATTGTATAAACCTATTATGTTTAGTCAAAATCGGAGCGCAGCGATTGTGCAAGGCTCCATAATTAGTAAGCGTTATATATTTCCTTAATGACATTGATAATAGTAATAAATATATCAAATTAACGTAAAATATGATTTAATATGAGTTGATTATTCAT